CCAACCAACCTCACCGCCACCCCACCAAACCGCCCCCCCCCCCCCCCCCCCCTTGCCCACCAACAACATAACTCCCTCACCGGCACCCCACACCCTCAGTTGAAAGTTTAACAGTTGAAGAAGTTGAATAGCTGTAAGTAGTCTTCGACTTCTACATGTATGCAATATCGGATGTGAATTGGTCTTGTTTCTCGTATCAACTAACGGGTTGGCATATGTGACCAATCGATTTTTTTCTATTTCATCAACAAGATGTGCTTGATGATCCACAAAACAAACAAAAATCTACGGTGATACCAACAATACGACGTTGTAGCAAAGCAATTTTCTGATTTTAAAACAAACGAAATGGACTATGGTAATTTTTTTCAACAATATTTCGAACTCTTTACGGGTATATTTTTGACCTGTTTTGAAAATATAGTGCAACTATTTTCACTTGGAAAGTTTTTGAAAGCTAACATTGTTCAAAGTCTCGTTGATTCTTATCTTGTTTTTATTTATTAGATTTAGATCAATTAATCTCAAAGATATTTGATTTTATTTCGACGATTCGTATGAATTATCCTGAACAAATGCAAGGACAATTTAACAATGTTTTGCGTAATTTAAACAATATAATTAATGATTCAACATTAATCGATGATCTTAATAAATTCACAATTTCAATCAAACAATATAATCACAACCATTATACAAATGATTGTTATCGATTTAAGAAAGAAATGGAGAATATGAAAGAACAGTATGATTCTATCCAAGCCGATTTATCCAGTATTCAATCACTAAGTACTGAAAATCTGTAAGATTTAAAAATTCAATTAAAATCTTTATTTGATGTATTATTAAATATTTTACATTTTCAAAACAAAAAAATCATGCAACTTGAATCAAGAATAGAAAACCTGGAGAAAAATATGATCATGTCGCAGAAGGAAAAGAAGCTCAAGGAGAAAAACGAAACTTATCGATGATTTGCTTAATCCATTATCAAAGGTAAGGTGAACAGCAGTGAGTAAATGATCAAAGTTAGGAATAGCCTGTTAGGATTGATATAAGAACGTTTTTTTTTTGCATTTTCTAGGAGCTACACAACTATCTTGAGACATTAGATGATCAGCCGCATCGATATGACGATGTTTACATGTATTCCGCTTTTCAAGAAAAAGCAGTTGGTCATCAAACAAATGAAAGACAATATAATTTTTTTTTTTGATAAACCAATTAATCCAGAGACATATGAGCAATTCTATTTGTTTTTACGTCAAAAATCAACTAATTTGAACATTCATATTCATATCTTACTATCATTTTTGCGTGAAAAAAAGATTAGAAATTTCACTCATCATAGTGATATATTTAATTTTTTTATTGATAGTTTTACCAACTTCAAGTATAAATTCAATGATTTGATAGAAAAATACGAACTTGCAGACGTACTCGAAGTAGATTAATTTACTGCTTTGAAAACCATTTTTGAAACTTATTTCAACGATGTTATTGTCCAGGCCAAACGACATGAAGACCAACAAGCAACAAATTCTACTTAAGAACAATTTTCGTCAGAATTTTTATTAACTGCGTTTTCTTGTTAACATTTCTGTAAGAAGAATAAAAAAAAATATAAAGAAAAGATAGGGATCTTGTTAAAGCGTTTTATTTGAAAAAAAGAAAGATTCAACAAATGAAACTCCAGTTAATCATCGATTAAAAAGTAATATAATGAAGTTAAAAAGAAAAACCAAGCAATATTTATGGAGATAAATTAAATATTCAGCCATATTAAACGCCTAATGATCAAGAATAAGACGATGATGATATTGTTGAAATATTCTTATAGAAATAAATAAATTTATTCTTAATTTAAATTTTAGATAAAGAAATTTAATCTCGAATGAAACAAGGAGCAAGTTATTTCTTTTCTTTTGCTTTATAAAATTGAGTATTTTTTTCAAATTTAAAGAATTTTCATACATCTGAAGATATCGTTGTTGAACATGAACAACTTTTATGAAATTAAGAAAATCAAATATAACTGATGAATTAAGTGCACAAATGCGTGACATACGTCGTTGTTTATCAATATTTATTCAAGAACAAAAATCCTTTAATGGTCATATTGAAGAACATATTATGACTGCTACAAATGCTTCACCTGTTCCTCTTTCAACATGAAATACAATTAATACAGTATATAATCAGCTTCAACAACAAGTTCTTACTCAAGGTTGCATTGCTAATTTAAATAATTCTTATCGTGAAATAGCCATATTGCAATTAAAAATCAATGCAATTCAATCATAAAATAATCATCTAACATGATCAATATCATCAACCTATGATAGATCACATTTATATTTAAGAGATAATTCCAAAGATTCAATTTATAGTTTAAATAAATAAAACCAATTTGTGCACAAGTGCGTTGAAGATATGATGAACATCTTCAATAACACAATCGTATTTTAACAGTAACTAATAAATTTCAAAATTCAAAACATCATTGACTAGTCAAACTATTGAAAAACAAATTGCTATTCATCTAGATAAAAATAATATGAAAACAACATCTACTAAACATGAAAGAAATAATATTTAGAACAAATTATATTCAATAGCATACTAAAAGATTTTCAAAATAGATCAAAGAACGACTTTTGTCGAAGATTGTAGCGAAATATTTTGAGGTTTAAGAGGCTTTTCACTAGCAAATTGGAATTTTCAATAAGTCTAGGATTGTTAGAGCTGTTTGTATATGACAACAAAGTTTAAAAGTGAAGAAAAATAACAATAAAAAATAATGTCAAAACAACAGACTTTTTCACAAAAAGGAAAAAGTGGATCACTGTATCCCGGATACGATTGGGATACGAAGGATGTCAGGATCCACTGTTTTCTTTCTTGATATCCTCATTGAATCTTCATATTTCGATTGAATCCTTCGGATCAGCATAGAATCTTATATTCCTCTCCTATCCTTAGAAATTTCTCATTCTTTACTCCTCTGTTTGATATCTAATAGAAATACAGTGAGAATACCAAGATACGCTTTTTCTCTCTTGCTTTTTGTTTAAATGGTGAATATTAAAGTTAGACAATTTAATATTATTCAAAGACAACAAAGAGAATCCGTAGGAAATAGGTCACGAAAACTTTCCTGTCATTAATCTTATTATGTTCCATTAAAATAAAATTTACTGACAAAATAACTTATTGTTCATCAAGATAGAAAAAGTCATTTTTTCGCCATGAAATCCTCGTATACTTTTACTAAAATAACTCTATACTCTTTATCTTCTTCTCTCAATTTATTGCACGTGTTGATCTCACTACAATAATTCTTCTTCATTTTTTAGCAATATTTCCTGGTGAATGTGTAGCATCACCGAAACATATTCATTTACATCCAAAACAAATATCTGATGAATACTAAATCGCATCTAATCATCAAAGAAAAATCTTTCAAAATGTTTTGTTATTTGTCGACGATCAATAACAAATGATAATGAAAACAATCTTCTCAAATCACAAATTATTTTATTATGCTCAACAATTACAACAAAATACATTTGACGACGAGGGTGTGTGGGTGGGTGTGAATATGGATGTGGGTACGTGAGTATGAATGCCGGTGCTAGAAAAGACAAGAGAAGTATACCAACACCCCTACATCCACCTGCCATATCCACACCTAGTTGAAACATCCACCCCATTCCATACCCTCAGACTCGGTCAAGTTTAGACTCGACCGAGCTTGGACTCAGCCAGAGTCTACAAAAGTTTAACCGAGCCTGAACGAACCTCACTGGGCCCAACCAAGCTCGATTGAATCTTAGCGAGCCCGACTGAGCCTTAACGAGCTTTACCGAGTCTGAGCTGCACGGACTTACTACGTGTCTACTTGTAATAGGTTCATAACTTTCCCATAGATATGCTAACTGGGAATGGTAATTGAAGAAAACCTAAAGTAGTAGAAGAATATGATAAGAAAAAGGTTGAGTCAAAGAAGATAAAAAAATTATTCGTCAGAATATTTTGTTTCTTTTTGATAAACAGAACTCCTTTTTGTGCGACAAACTTTCGAAAGAGGAATAAAAAACATGGGACCGACACCTTCCAGACGAATCCAGTCACTTTCAAAAACATCCGAGACGCTTACAAAACCGTACGAGATACTTGGAGGAAAAAAATCTGATACAGATTATCAATTACGTCTAGGACACCGTACACGAATTCATGAATACAAACAATATCGACTTCAAAACCCAGAAAATCGTAAAATTGTCGTTGAAATATTTCGAATTGTTTTTTGTGCATATGAAACATTATCTGATCATGATAAACGTCACAAATATGATCAAAATGAAGAATGGATAAAAGATGTGCCTTTAGAAAAATATACATAACAACAATTAGCTGCTGAACCTGATCTTGCAAGCGAATTAAAAACTCGTTTAAAAAATTCAACAGTACGAGACATAAATGCACACGATCCAGAAACGGGGCACACTGTGCTCTACTCTGCAGCACGTGCTTGCAATATAGAAGCTTTGAACGATTTATTAGAACTGGAAGCTGAACTTGATCTAACACAGAGAACAGGAAGTACACTTCTACATGTAGCTGCTTTTTATGGACATCCAGAAATAGTTCGATGTTTATTGGAAAGTGGTGCTGATTATCGAAAAAAAAATTCGATTAATAATACAGCTGAAGATGAGTGTGATGATTATGAGACAAATATTTAGGGTGTGGGTGTGGGTGTGGGTGTGGGTGTGGGTGTAGGTGTGGGTGGGTGTGGCTGTGGGTATGGATGTTTCATTCCTTTCTTTTCTCTTACCCTGACCCACACCCACATCCAAACCCAGAGGCACACCCACACCCACACCCTCTTCGTCCATCTTGCTGGCAATTGTTCAATCCCATGTTTGTAGAAACTAACCGGTTGTGATTCGAAAAAGCCAGTGAGGTCGGAATTTTTAAACAGTATTTCAAGTTTGCAGAACTTATGTTTCATTTCAACAGAATGCCAGCAATAGTGAACAATGCAGCATCTAAGAGCTCATTACGATGCTTTCTTCAGTCGGCTATCTAAACGTCACATATTCATCCCGTATCACATCCGTAAACAATTCAGTATTGTAAAAGTGAATGAAATCTATGGTTAGATGCTACGGGATGACATACGATCAATAAATCTGATGAATGTCATCAAATAATTGACTATAGAACGATCCTATAAAAATTATCTAATCAAGAACATATTTTCTTTAGCTTCCATCTCACTGAAATTTCTTTGTTTTTTTGATTAATGTCAAGTTCCCAGCAACATTTTTGAGCCGTGTTATATAATAATTAATAGCTTTCGTTGAGCTCTACAGGACACAACAAAATGTGATTATTAAAAAAGCCTGACTGTCAATTTTTATTATCGCTAATATTGCGTCTGTCATTGAGACAACAAAAGCAAAAAATATTTTTTCATATTTTATTCGTGCGTCGCTTCTTCGGTAAATTCTAAGTATTATAGATGGCATAGGCTACTCTCATTGAGTCTACCTTTCATAAAAATATTATTCTAGTTTTTATCTATCTCTTATTATAAACCTAGATCTAATTACAAGGTGCACAAACAATCATATATAACAGCATGCCAAATAGTGTGCTACGACTAAAAGTGATTGCACAAGATGATTACATCATCAAAACAAGGCCAATCTATGCACCACTAATCCATGACATATTTCGAATAATTTATGTTGCAAAAATGGTCTATTTACGTATATCATAACTCACCGTATACGTCAATATACGATCTGTTTCCGATATGCATGAATTATGAACTCTATTTTTGTCTAAAAAATAAAAATTATCTGAAATTCTAAAGAAACACTTCCAACTCATGTCGAAATCAGATCGTTTCAAGGATCATATTCCTCAATTTTATTATATAGTTGCGAGAACTGAATCATCAGTAACAGCTAGGAAAATACTCTGAGTACATTGACTGAAATTTAAGTAATTCATTGTTTGATGATGATGTTATATCCGAAAAATCTTTTAAGTTATGGAGGTGATATAAGTATAAAAAATAAATCTGATTCGACCGCTATTGTTGATGCTCGAACAGATGACATAAAACAATGTTTAAAACTATATCAAGCCAATTTAGATGGACATCATTTTTTTTCCGTACATTTATATGGTGTTTGACACAGAATCTGGTAATGAATCATTAGCAAAATTACAATTACATTGGGATGCTACATATAATGATTTTGTACAAGCAATGCCTGATTCAATACGAGATAAATATACAAATTTTTCTATCGCTCAATGTCCATTAAATTTTGAAGAAAATAACACAACAGTTTTAACAGCTGTATGTCGTGCTTGATATGGAAAAACGAAATTTTTCCAATTACCACTCGATCTGTAAACTATTCCAAATCAAGTTCAAGTTTCTATGAATGCTTGTTATATCTTTCACAATGATGGCGTAGTTTCTGATGCGTCTCCTCTATTTCTTTAGAATAATCAATGGTGGGATCTTGTTGTATCTCATAAAACTGATTAAATGATCTGTTATGTTTCCAGCTTTTTATTTATTTGTTTGATCATTATTACTAAAAAATATATTAGTAGTATTTGAAAGTAATAATAAAATAAATTGTTGATAAGATTATAAACGAGTTAATAGGTTTTTCACTTACGTTAGTTGAAACTTAGAAATGTATTCTTTTTGTCCAATATTCATTTTGGAAAATTGATATAAAATAATATCATGCAAAACAAGAAAGTCTTTTTCGGTGAAACGAAAAATGCTCGATTGATTTTTGAGTTAAGATCAAGAAGATGAAACATAAGGGATATTCTTCCTGGAGTGTAAAACATAATATTTTTTCTTCCAGTTATTCTCAAGGTCAAAAGAAATGTTTTTTCTCCTACTGAAACAAACTATTCACGGTATAATTAGTGTTTTCTTCTGTTTAATACTAATCATCTTTAATTGAATATATGTATACATATTGTTTATATAAATATTCCAATTCGTTCAAGTCTTGATACATCATTAACTCAAAAATATGCATCATTAATAAAATCTTTATCGGATAAAGTTCATTCAACAAGTCGTGATTTTGAATTAGCAAATGAACTTATTTTTTTTCGTATGCATACTAAAAAACAAAATATTAGTTGCAGCTGGTTTGTAGAAAAACAAAACTAATTGTTTCATATTATATATACATGTATTTGTTTTTTTTTCTAGACAAAAAAATACAATGATAGTGTTACATGCAACAGGTGTTTCATAAAATATCTATCTTTCTTTTTTTGTCTATCTAATGCTATTCTATTTTTAAAAAACATTCAGTAAAAGAGATTGACAAAAATAATCGCACATTTTTCCTTTCTTAGATTATTTCAGATAATGAAATGTCATTTATAATTAAACAAGCATTATATAACCGATTTGCACTTGATCGACAAAATCCAATGTCTTCCACGTTATGTCATGCGCAGTCTTCCTGTAACTATTGATCTATAATATCTACATGAAAAGAATTTATACACGAGTCATCTATTGTCAAGCAAAAATTGTACATAACTTATCGTAAACTATCACATCTAGATATATATTTTTTTTTTTTCATATATACCGATTCAAATAATAGAAATCTATTTTAAAAACCTAGTTACAATAAGCATTGCCCTATTTTATACTGACATACTAGTTACATTTTTGTTTAATGTGATTCTTCAAGAGAAAAAGTGTATGGTCGAAGGAAAAAAAGAAAAAAATACGAATAGAAAAAAAGATACGAACAGTGATCATCGAAGCGTGCATTGAATAATAATAATCATTAGTAATAACTGATAAAAAGTGTATAACATTTGTGGAGCCTTGGTATAGCGAAAAAAGTACAGCAAACGTAAAAAAAAAAAAAGAAGATTATCATTATGGCGACAACTGTACTATCGAATTCTGTTTATTATTCAGTATCATCAGGTCCACATTCATCAGCACGAAACATTGTACTTCATAAACGACCAGATCATACTGGTTTTGGAATATATATTGGTGAAGATGTACCATCTGGTCTTTATATAGCAACTGTAGAACGTAACTCACCCGCAGCAAATGCTAATATTCAACCGGGTGATCGTGTTCTAGCTGTTAATGGACAATCAGTATCATCTATGGTTAAAAATCCAAAAGAAACACTTATAAAAGCTGCAAACAATTCTCAAACTCTAACACTTACAATTCAATCAACAGATATATTTGAAACACTTAATATACCATTAATAAATAGTTATGAAAATAATGAAAATCATCTTAAACAGCAAATATCATCACAACGAACATTCGATAAAAATACAAACCTTGAAAGGTAATTTTTGTTAAATTAAAATAAAACAAAATCCTTTATTTTTCTTGACTTAATTTAGTTATATTAAGTCTATATTGGGCAATGAAAATGTTCAATTATTACCAGTACCAAATTCATTGAATGATAATCAATTTATTTTACAGTCTGGTTCATATCCAATGTCATCAATGAATTTTAATTCATATCCAACTGATCCTTTTCGTTCAAAAGATCATAAACAAGGATATCGTCATCATCATCATCATCGCCATCATCATCGTCGTCATCCAAAAAGAAAAATTGTTGATTCAAAAGAAACTCAAACAGCAATGGATGATAGTCAAGATGAATATATATCACAAGAACAAACATCAACTTCACTATCACGACAATATCCATCAAAACCAATTATGGGTACATCACATCGTATGTTACGTACACAACAATTATCTTCAAATGATAATCCAACAGATGAATCAAATGATTCTAAAACTTTATCAAGTATTATAATATGCAATCTTAAAAAATTTTTCTTTTATTTACTTTTTTTAGATAATAAAGTTTCAGAATCGATGGTTAAATCGTCATTACCAGGAATCTATTAAACTAAATTTCAAAAAGAAATTCTTATATAATATTTTTTTTTTATTTTTAGCTACTACAAACACATTTTTGGGTACTGCTGCACAACAATCTCCAAAACTAGGTCAAGTAACTCGTTTCCCACCAACACAACGTATGGCTGATGTGGTTACAGCGGCTGTAGTTGCTTCACGTAATAATCCTGAACGTTCGTATTCAATGATTTTTATCATTAGCCAATCATTTTTTTTCTTTTCTTTTCTTAATTTTAAGTAGCTAAAAATGCTGAAGAAATTTCCACTCGTCAACCAGGTGACGTTCCTACACGAACTACAACACTTCCTCCATCTCAGCAATCAGATCCTGTCAGTAAACGAGCTAATGTTGAAGTAATGCAAGATCAAAATCCACCGTTGCCACCATATACAGCAGTAGCCGATACATATACATCATCGAAACCAGTTGATAATCGAGGAAATATTAATGGAGTTTCAGATAATATTCGTAGTGCTCCAGAAAATCGACAACCAGCAATGACACCAAAAGTTGACATGAATATGATTCCATCATCAATACGGGGCGAAGGTGTACGTGTTATACATTTACGTCGTTCACCAGATTATGAAGGTTTTGGTTTTCATTTGCAATATAATAAAAATTATTTTCTTGTTCATAAAATTGAAAATGATAGTCCAGCTGCTAGCAGTGGTCTTAAATTAGATGATATTGTACTTTCAGTAAATCAACAATCAACAGAAAACATGCCTCATCCTACCTTTGTTTCAATAGTTAGTGGAAGTTCCAATGTTGACTTTATTGTTCAACCTCGGGAAGCATATTTACGTTCGAAGGATCAACCAAAACAGAATATCCAACCACTACCACCAATTCCAAGAAATAACAATAATGAAGACAATAATTCACTTAAAACAGGTCTTTCAAAAGCCTTGAGCAAAATAAAAAGTCGTTGAAAAACAAGAAGATTTTTATTTATATTTTTCTTTTTTTCTTATTTTAATATTTCTCACATAAAGTATTTTGAAAACATTAAAACCTAAACTAGAAAATTTATTTTGATGAAAAATTTCTTGTATTATGTTGAAAATAGAATACGGATATCAGTCACTATATTCTTGAATATGAATGCAATTTTATAAAGCTCAAATATGTACATAATGATTCATTAATAGAAGAACAGTAAATGAGAAAGAAAAAGCTCTATTTGGTTTATTTGTAAAAGAGCATTAAATATGTAGAACATGGTATCGAGATTTTTGCATACAGCTGCCTCAAATATTTCTTCCAACTAGACATATGCTGAACTAATTATAGTGACTATCTTGGCCATCGAAACGACCAGAAAACAGTTTGTTGAAGCAAGAACCATAAGGATGAAATGTTGCTGAGACGGGAAACAATACTGCAAGAAAAAACTTATCCCAACTGAAACTAAAGATTCGAGATAAACATTTTATGACTTTAACCAAGTTATCATATAAATCATATCAATGAGAGCATAAATCAAGAGAGATGACTTTAAAAAGTACTAGTCGTTTACTAAGTAAGTCAAAAAGTGAGTGGTTAATTTTTTTTTTTTTTTTGAATGTCGTACGAATAAATAATGAAGTAGCTTTTTTCTAGATTGAAATTAGCAGCTAAATAGTAAACTCATTCGAACCGGAACTAAGATCAGGATGAAGATCTAAACACGTGCTCTCGCATATCTCTACTTCAGACTTACAAACATATCGATTACGTTGGAATTAATTTAGTGTAAAATGAGCTGTTAAAATGAGTAATAGATAACTTTATAAGAGAGAATAGTGTAAACAAATCAATCCTTTGTTCTAACAAATTCATGAATAATTTTTAAAGAAAATAAGACTATTATTTTGACATAATTTTGATTCTTATGCAATAGAAAAAAAAAATAGTAACGTAAGTTTTTTTATTAGCTCATGATAGATAATATCGTTTTTTTAATTAAACTTACTCGATCAATGTGTGAATACTGTCATTAACTTATATTCATGATAAGGTAAATCAGTACGAATTTTCAAAGTAACAGGCGTTTTATAGAAGAATAAACAACATATTTCACCTTTCTGGTATTTTTTCTACTGTTAGAACACGAAAATTCAAGAAACACTATCACTTTAAACTAGATCACTGTACGAGTACAACTTTTCGTATTCATATCGTAGACGCATCCGATCCTGAGTGCGGGCGCCAGACCAATGGATTACAGTACTCTACTTTAAACTATGAATTCAATAGAAGAAAATAGATACTTGTAAGAAAAAAAAAAATTTAAGAATTATAAAGTTCTCAATTAAACAATGAATGTGATAAATCTGTTAAATGTTATTTATTATCTGGATAATGATTATGAGAAAAAAAACAATCCTCCTGTGAAATAATAACAATCAAGATTTATTGTGCCCTTTTCATGTAATTCGATATTATATGGAATAGATTGATTTGATTTTTATTATATCTACAAATGAATACGTCAATATTTACGTTCAACAATTTCAAGCAATTAGATTTATTGTTATTCAAAAAAATTTGAAATTTCTTTATCATATCAGAGTCATTTATACAATGGTTGAATTGAATTAATTTAAATAACAATCTTAAAATATGTCGAAGAGTAACGGTACATAGTGTATATATTCGATTTTAAGAAGGGTTTTCATCAACTATTCTTCTCTCATCTCTCTCTAATTCATTCAACTTATTTCATAATCAGTTAGAAAAAATAATATATGTTTCTGACAACTATATCTATCGATCATCAATAATTCTCATAGGATAACTATAGTAGTGACATATAAATGCTTTATCATGTAATCAAATGATTAATAACATTTGTTTATGTCCATGCAACTTATCAATGTTACTTGATAGTCTTCTATCTCCGTTATTATACTTATATAATCATATAAATACAGATTTTTTTTATATGAAAATAACTGTACATGTATACTAATGTAATATCAAATAATCATTAAATGAAAGATCATATTTCCAAAAAATCGATTATCATACTATTTCTTAATATAGGCCAAAATATTTAAATTTAAGTTCCGAAAAATAATTTTTGTGTTTACATATCTTTTATGTATAAAACAAGAAAGAAAAAAAAAAAAAGAAAAACGACAGATCCAAAAAATGAGAAAACGAGCAAGAAAGATATAGACTGTGGTATAGAAACAGAAAAAAAAACGAAAACCATAGCCAATGTATGTAAATCGAACAATAAAAATGAACTGAAATGCACACATGCACACATTCACTAGCTAGAAAAGAATGCATTCCCGAATAAAAAACATAATATATATATTATTCGATATGTATATTTGTTGCTAAAATTTCTCCTGTTGATGTTGTTTGACAACCTTGTGATACATATCGACCTGCTTCATCAAATTGTTCACGTAATGATATTATATTTGTTCGTTGAATAACTTCTTGTAAATTACGACGAAGTACTTCAGCATCAAGACCACCGGCCATTTTAGGTAATGGACATTGTTCTTCATTAAGTGGTGGTAAACCAAGACGACTATGTCGATTTGAATTTATTGAATTAACAAGAGATATTGGAGATAATTGTCCACCATTATTATCTATTGATTCATCATATCCACTATTATTTATATCAGTTCCTATTTGATATATATTTAAATCTTGATCAATAGGTGCAAAGCCATTTGATGAATTTGTATAATTTTCATAGGATGGTGGTGATATATAACCACCATTTGTTGATGTTATTGATGATAAATTATTTGTACTTGCAGAATGTACAATCGTTGGACGAATATTTTGACGTGGCCAAGTTTTTAATGATTTCCATTTAGTAGAACCTAGGTTTTTTTTTTTAATATAGTAAAAAAATAATTTAAAATTTTGATAGATTTTATTTGCTAAGAATAAATACAATATTTTGTTAATTAGACAGATGACGATGAGAAGTATAGGAAGAAAAAAAAATAAGAATAAAGATATGCAAAAGCAATTTTTGTTTTTTGTCCCGATCTAGATAAAACTATTTTAAAATTGATTTGTATTACATTTTTAAAAAAAACTCCTTCAAATACTGATTTTCTTTTTATTTACTTAGTCGATGACAAGCACATTTTTAAGTCATCTCTCGTGAATTATGTTCTCATTGGTATGGTTTATAAGTTAATTCGCTTAAAACCATAGAATATTTAACTAGAATCTTTAGTTTCCATTAGGACAAATTTTTTTTTTTTTCGTAGGTTCGGTTATTGGAACTGGAACTAAAACTGATCTCGTACATTTCTAGTTCTGAACGATCTTATCAAAAGTATTTATTAAAATATACCTTCTTTTGGACCAAGTATAGCTGTAAAATTCATAGAATCGCCGGGATTAATAACACATGTAAGATCATTAAATGTTTCAAAATGACATGATTGTATATCGAAAAAAACTTGTTCATTATTATCCATATTTAATATTCCATATTTAGGAAATATTCTTATAACAACACCCGATGCATTTATTGAACTTGATGATTGTTGAGATAATTGTGTTGATGATGATGTTTGAAGATTATTATTATTCATTATAGTAATGTCATTTTTATTTAATAAAGCACGTACAGCATCGGATTTAACACTAATTGTTCCATCAATATGTAATTGAAAAACAGCATTATGTCGTTTAAAAAATAAAATTAAATCATCACGTGTAAAACCAATTATTTGTGTTAAATAATCCGGTGCACGAGCTAATAAACTAGGTACACTTTGAAGTAAAACACGACCATTTTTATGTAATAAACGCATAACATAATGAACAGCTTTAACTTCATTTGGTGTTAAACGTTGATTGGAATTTCTTGTTATTGATGATGTTGATGAAAGTAATATAGATGAATTTATGCCACTTGTTGGTGTATTTGGCATTGAATTACCAACTAACATTGTTCGTGTACCTGATTTAAATGATGCTGAACGTGTTAACATTGAATTATTTCCAGTTGAATTTAATAATGTTGTACGTCGTTTTGGTGGAGGTGATGGTGGTGGAAATGGTATTCCAGGTTGATCAGCTTTACCCTATAGAATAAAAAATAAAAAGAAAAAAAATTATATTAATTTTATTTAATTAGAAATTTGTTTTCATTTACTTTAAGACCACAAAATTCATCACGAACAGCAAAAATATTTGGATAACGTAAAAGAAATATTTTAAATTCATTTTGTGGTCCAACATATTTTCGTACATCAGCTGATGCTTGAGATGCATGTCCAGCAACACTAACAATAGGTAACCATTCTTCTTCACGTTTACTTAATTGTTTTTTAAAAAAAATTATTGCTTCTTGTTCTATTTCACGCATTGTTTTAGCATCCCATACTGTTTCATTATTATTATTTGTTGATGTTGTCATTAAATCATTTTCACTCGCCTCATTACTTGAGGCGGGTGATGCTGTTAATTTAGGTCGATTATGATGAGATTTTGATGATGAATTTAATGTTCGTACAGGTGTTGCACTATTTGCTGATACACTATCATTATTTACAGTAAATAATGATGGATATCGAAGCAAGAATTGTTGTAATCCTTGCTCATTGCCACCAACAGCACGTAACATTTGTGGTGTAAATGTTCGATCAGCGAAGCTATCGTAAAGCTTCACAATAGGCATGGCTTGGTTATTACGAATGAGCACATCGAGAATAAATAGAATGGCTTGATGAGCCACCTGATCAAACAAAAATAAATCAACATATGAGAAATAGAGAAAAAAAAAAAAAAAACTTGCCGACGGCTCATCGATTGCTATTCCATGCGTCTTCTCGGCAGATGCCACAGCAGCCGATATTGGCGTTGCCGTTGTCGTCGTTAATGGAGGCGATGTAGCTGTATTAGGTGTCGTTGGTAATGAAGACATCTCCTCCTCCTGTAATGACAAAGATGACATAGTCCTGTCAAATGTTATATTGACAAGAAAAATAAGATATGAACTGTATACGAATATAGGTGCAAAGTATATTTAAAAAGGTTTAAATTGGTCACGGATCAATGATAAAGTCTATCATCTTCGTACTTAATGACACTTGTTGCGATACATATATTAATTGAAGAACTCTCATATTTCGACCTTCAATTTCTCCTCTTTTTTTCTTTCATTCATTCATTCACTTCTCTATCGAACGATAATGGAGGAGGATTATTATAACGGCAAAGCTCGACTACACATAGTGGTGTGCATGAGAAAACTGTTTCGAGAAGATTAGTTGTACATATATATACACATACATGTACGCACGCACACACGTCTTTCTTCTCTTCCTTTCTCTCCATATCGACTTGCTAGCAGCTACTTCTGAATAACATATACATACATATGTACAAGTATTTCCATCCATATCTATATAAATATAAAAAAAGTGCTTCGTCGTTGACCAGAATGAGAAAATAAATGAATCAATGTCGTTTTCTCTTATTTAATTCGGTCATAAATACAAAACGATCTATTTTTATATAATAGTTTAACTAAACTCATTTTCTTCATTGAAATAATAATTACAATTATAATTATAATTTACCTTTCTCTATATATTTATGTATATATGATGAGACAAGAGACGTTGGGAGGATACTGTCGACAAGTTTAATAATTATAAATAGAAGTAATGTAAGAAGAATACGATGAAGAAAAAAATTCAAATAAATAAGAAGCAATTATTGACGTAATAAAATTTTTTGACGACAACGAAGAAGACGCAGTCAATATATATTTATATGTAAAGTAAGTGATCTGATCGCGAAGCAATATCGTAAGAGCTTCGCGTATGGCAGTGTCGCCGATAATGATGTTGGTCTATGTGTTGCTTCTTTCTTCTTTTCGCCTCAGTTTTTTTTTTGTGTATGTGCTACCACCCTGAAAAGGAGAAAGGGAAACAGAGAGAGAGAGAAAAGAAAGAAAAAAAATTGACAATATGATTTGTTCTCTTTTTTTCTTTATGTATCTATCGTCGTTATTGTTGTTCTATTCCTTCCGGTAGGGTCAATCTTATATACAAAAAAAAAGTGTAAATGCACAAATACATACCAAAAATGTATGTATATATTTGTGAGAAGAAAAAAATAAGAAAAAGAAAAAAAATGATCAATTGCTAATGAATAAATGAAAAATATTAAAGTAGTGACATAATAAAGTTGGAAATTTCTTTTCTTTTTTGTATCATTGTTATTGAGAAACAGATTAGAAATTTCTTTTTTTTGCAAATTAATAAATAAGAAATCAGTAAATGAGATTTATTATCGCAATCATCATATGTATAATAAAGATTGACTGATTTTTGTCTGTTGAAAAGAAAAGAGAACTGTTAATTTCAATATGAATCATTTATGAATTGACCAATCTAATAGTTGAAAGATGATTAAGATATGATTATAATAAAGATTTAAAAAAATTAAATTCAAGTTATATACTCAATGATAATATTTTTCCTATTGTTTAAATAAAATAAGAAAATCATTGATGTCGCTCTAGTACGGTTATTCAATATTTCTATGATATAATCTGATAAAATATAATTTTATAAAATGAACCAAAATATTATCTATATACAAAGGATACAACATTGTATGATCTAGCATGAAATAATGTTCTCCCTATGAGAACTCTTATCGTTTATTTATTTATTTTTCTTTTTAGACACTTTTTTTTTTTCGTCGACCTTGCTTTTGTTTGTCTTATATGGACACGAATGTCCTTCGATTTTATGCTACTAATAATTCAATAATTATTCTACCATACATTGTTCTTTTGTATTTTCATTAATTTTTTGTTTATCGATATCGAAAAATGGTTTCTTATTAATTTTTCATCTATACATATCATATATCATAAACAATCATTAAAATAACGAATGTAAAAAAAAAATGAATGAATACTTGTATAGATGAAATATTCTATTTCATTATGTCGATAAATTAAAGAATAAAAATAGTCATAGGTATATTTTTAGTATATAACGTATTACAAATACAGTAAATATTACAAATTGTCTGAGCAAATGTTGTCAATAATTGTTAATCTATGAAATAATATTTAGAAGAGAAGCATAAATATTATTAACATAGCATGCATAATATATGTTCGAAGGAATGGATTGTCGAGTTACAAGGTTCATCAATGAAAATTCTCGGTTAAATGTCTTGGGCAACCAACATACGTGTTTAGAATGTTTTATCATTTTTTGTTTAGAAAAATTATTTTATTGAAAATATAAATATTGGCTCAATCAGAACTTTACATGATCATATTGAAAAGATCAAAATTTTTTTGTATTCAACAAGATGTTTTATCTGGTATAAGAAAAAAGATCCTTAGTTGTTGTATAACAAAGGAAAAATTTATGGCTAATTAACAGAAGTTCAATGTTTGAAAGCAAAGTATAAATAAAATTGATTTTTATTTTGATTATGTTTCATAAATATATTTATCTTATTGAATAGGCAAGACAGAAACGAACGTCCAAAAACTAAGATGGTATTAATTTTAAACTATAAATATATTATCAAACGTAATCATCTTATCGGATAAATATATCGAACTTTTGACTTCATAAAAACATCAATTAAATATTTATGGGATCGAAAAACATAAGAATTATCTATTCTTTATTAATTGACAAACAAAACTCGATAACACTTTATTTTGCATATCCGTTAAAATGATTTCATTTTCTATTCTTTCTTCACATCGATCACTGAATTTTTCTCTCCTGTTCTGTCGTTGCTGTTTACAATCATGTCATCAACTCGTTGGCAGTAGCAGCAAGTAAAAGAGAAAGTTTAATTCAAAAAAAAAAAAAATAACGACACAGAATAGTGAGAACTCCCGTTTGTTCTCTTTTTCACCTTCTTTTTTTTCTCTTCCATTGTGTTCTGTAAATGATCTTATTGCACACGTTGTTGTTACTACTACCATACACATACATACATACGTACATTTATAAAAGTTAAATTTTGAACGCAATATTTCAAAAAAAAAAGAAGCGAAATGGTTGATTTACCACCGGTTAAACAATCGTATACTATTACGACAACTAGTGAACTTAAATCACGAGCATTTAAAAGTAGCATGGGTGTTTTACCAATTCGTCGTAGTGAATCAATACCGGAATTAAATTTAGTTCATTTACGTGGAAGATCAGTCATGGCAACAGGAGGAAATAATGATGATTTAGCAAGTAGTCGTGTAGGTACGAATACTCCAATAACACCAAGACGTCCAGTACCTTTAACAGAATCTAATCAAATAAATTTAATTGAACGTCGTGAACCATTACCAGCTATTCTGCCAATGGTTGGTACAACACATACAGCTACTCTTCAAGAAAGACAAGCACAAAAAAAACCTATTATTCAAGTACCAGCAGTCAAAAAACGAAAAATTGATGTAGTTGTTATTGAACCTGAAGTATTACCACGAACAACACCACGATCTGTCGTTAATCGTATGGTTCATGAAGCACGTTTATTAACACAACCTATTGGTGATCGTACAACACCACATAGTCGTTTATCTAGTAAACAACAGTAAGAAGATATCTAAATATTTTTTATTTATAAATATAATAGACTACATTCTATTAATTAGATCTTATGGCACATCATCAAGTATGTCAATAACTCAACAACAACAAGTTATAATTACACCAAGTGATGATCCAACACGTGCAGCTGTTGAAAATTTAATAGCATCGATAAAATCTAAACAATTACAAGAGACTCAACGACAATCCGATCGTAAAATTCTAGATATTATACATCGTGTACTTGGTAGAACAGTTGATCTTGTTTATGACGAAGATGAACAAGAAAGAATTCATCAAGAACATGAACAACAAATAATAAGTGAAGAAGAAAAAAGAATACCTATAATTATTGAAGAAGAAAATATGAGTGTTAACTTACGAGTACCAGATGTCAGTCGAATGGATCTTGATATGGAAGATGAAAAAGATCAAGATGAAGAAAGAGAATATGAAGATGAAGATATTGATGAAAAAGATAAAACTATTGGAACAATTAAATTAACAGATGAAGATGAAAAAATTGATATGTCAAATGATCCACTATATCGTCATATATTATTTGGAATTTCAGATGAAGATTTATTAAATGTACGAGGTACTCGAATAAATGTACCAACTCCAGTATTCAAAAAAAATCAAGCATTACCTACTAAAACAGTTAAACATGAAGATAAAAGTATTCATCATTTTTGTATTCAAATGGCTGATGATAAGGATATCATGTCAAAAGAAGTTCGAGCCATTACTCAATTATATCATGAACGAGCTCGATTTCGACATAAATTACCTATGTCTTCAACATATTATAAACATGGACAAATGCCAACTTATCCAATTAGAGAAATAATTGAAGATGAAGAAAGTGAAGAAAATGAACAAAAAATGTAAGTTTAGTTTTAACAATCTAATCTTTAGACGATTAAAATAATTTTTATTATCAACGAAAAAATTTTCATATGTGTTGAAATATCGAAAAATGAATGCACCTCATACTTTGGATTTCATATAGAATAATTACACTGATATTCAAATAGTTCTGTTTTAAACATATTGTAAAAATAAAATTGTAGAATAATAAACCCTATCAAACAGGTTTATGAAAGTAATAAACCTTTTTCGTAGGATTTATCATTGTACACTTTTTATTACAGTGCAATGTTGAGGGCCAAGAGAGTGGTGCTTCATTCGAAGGTTAGATTTGCCCTCTCGAAGTTTGTGGTTACTATACCACGTACTATGTGTTTGTACTCTCGAAAATAGGTGTTCGTACTTTCAGAGTTGTAAATCATCCTTATGGAATAGAAGAGTCACATTTACATTCTTCGTAAGAAATTATCCTAGATTCGATTAAATTCTCTAAAATCTGTGTATTATAAATGTTTTACTTTAGAAATTCAAGCAGAAAAATGAACGAAAGAATACTCAGTTATGTATGAACGAACAAGTTTTCAATGCTATTTTATTTTATAAACTTCAGAATATATTGTAAAATTTTCTTGAGATCACGGATCAAAAGTAGATATGTTTTTTTTTAGTAATCTGAAGATAACCAAAATTTATCAGTTGAATCGAAGAAAAATCTTTCTATATAAACTTTCGCTGCCATATATGGTACATTAATTATTTCTCATCAAAATAGGATCATTATTTATTGCTTACAAGTTAATTTTATAGAAATAGCCAAGATTTAGTTTTGATGAACATCATGTATCTATCCGACTCTGTGGAGAAAAGAAATAAGAATTTATTTTTACATGTTGTTCGTTTTCAAATTGATAATAAAATGAATTATTTTTTAGTTCATATCCAGCTCAATCGAATACTCCTTCAATTCCTTATGATGGTTTAATGTCCTCAGATACTGATCTTAATGTCTGGCAACGTCGTGCTGCTCAACGGGTTCAACCTAAAATTGAAGGCGATTCTGCTCTTTCTCAAGATCCATATCTAATTCGTTTATGGACACCTGCACCACCGAAAATGTATATTCATCCACGTCGTATAAGACAACATCTTTTTGTTAATTATACATCTGCTGATACTAAAGAAATTGAAGATAATGAAGATGAAGAATTAACTATAGCCGATGAACATAAATCAATATTTACAAATTTTAGTGAACAAGATCAATTCATAGAACAATTTTTTACTATTCCTGTTATAAAACCATATAAATCACTTGAACGTTTACCATCAGCAATCGATCAAAGTGATGAATTTCAAATGATTCCAACAATGATTCGATCAACTCGTTCATGTTCAGATTTAACATCAGAAAGTGTAATTCGTTTTGATACAGGTCATGCATTTACATTAGATGAAACAAAACATCAAATTGACGCTCGAAAAAATGTTAAAATTGAATCAACTACACCAGCCTCAATTCCTTTTGAGGACATACAAGTTATATCATCTGAATCAGTGGAAGTGACGACGAATGTCAAAGACAATCTAGTTAACGAAAAAGGTAAAGTAAAAGGAATTTTTTGTGAAACACGATCTAAAGAGCAATGTTAAAGTATATGGATAAAAATTTGAAACTCCTTTCTCTACAGACTATGATCGACGTAACCATGTACAGTAGGCAATCAAGTAGACATGACCAAAAGTTGATATTGCTGAAGTTCAAATATTGGAATAAACATAGCTATAGTTAACATTCGTATTTATACGAAAATTATTTCTCTCACCAAGTTATGGAAATATTTTAAAATGAAAAATAGGCTGAAACTGATCATAGGCTCATAAGCTTGATTGTGTAAAAAGATAATGTCTATTGGACTAGAAATAGAATAGAAACAAAAAAGCTTATACTAAGCCGAGAATGGCTCGAAAAAATCAATGATATGGTATTTTGTAAATATACAAAACACATTAGCTTTGATTGATCTCAAATTTTCGAGGATTTTTCTCTCATGTCTGATTCATCGATATTCATAACATCACGATCACACTGATGAGTACAGTCAGTGCTTTTAGGTGATATTCGAAATCATCTTATAGCACTGCATCAAAACATATGTGATAAAAGCCTTTTTTTTCAAAAGCTTTTGATCTCTATGCGAAATACTTTACTAAAAGTTGAATTTCACGACTTTGTAAATATTATAATCAGCTTACATCCACTTGAACTTGAACTTTCATCAAATGTTTCATCCACGTAAGGTCTAATGTTAAATATGGGGTATTCAATATGAACTGAGTTATTGACTCTACACAACCTATGTTTTTTACACTCGAATCTCTTTTTTATTCTTAAAATAGCATCTTAGCGCAATCATAGAGTTTGGCAAGGTGATTTTTGTACAGAAATTTTTTCCAAAACATGATTTATTTTCTTATAGATGATTTCCAAAGTTCTATATAATTACTTCTGAGCAATAAAAATCCTTCTTCGAGCACGAAAGTTACATATCCGCCTGTTAATACGGAAGTTGTCCACTGTTTCATGAAAACGTCACAGACTGTATATCAATAGTGTCTTGTTATAATAAATGAACTATTTTCTCATTACATTTTTTGATGCAAGTTTTAATCCTATAAGAATCGTGCTAACAGCTTTTCGCTTAAATTTTTTTTTCTAGAATCAATTATTGATGAAAAACCTGAAGAATCCTCGGGAGATTTTAAATATTTTCGAAAAACAAATCGTTCAGTACATTATGAACAATCTGTTGCTGCTGGTCGTCGATTTATATCAAGTGGTCGTCTTCGAGCAAGTCGTCGTGCTCGAAAAGATGCTCGTTTTTGGGAACGTATTGATGCTATTGTTGCTATTGCTTCGGCTCCACCACGTTATCCACCTATATCACGACGTCATTCATTTCATGAAGCAATATTTTATGAACAAAATCATCCACATATATTAAAAGAAAAGTTTCGTCAACGTCGAACAAGTCTTGAACGTGATAAACAAAATTTTGATGAAATTATTAAAACAAAATATAAATATGATGAAACACGTGTTAAATCAGCTGGAAAACGTTTATTAAATGAATTTGAATGGACACGTGATTTATGGTATAGTTGGCTTGATGAATATATAGCTGAATTAGATAAATGTGAATCAATAAGACAAGAAAATGAAATAAAACGACAAAGTACTCTTAAAACACCACAAGAGGAATCATCAATAACAATTGTAATCGAAAATGAAGCTGATGAAAGTCAAACAAAAAAAGGGCCTAGTATTCAACTTGAACCCATTACAAATCTTCAATTAGCTGATAGTGAAGAACGTCGTTTAATTGAAGAGGAAATACATCGTTTAACATTATTAATTAATCGAGATTCACATGATGTATTTAGTTTAACACGACGAGGAGGTTTATTACGTAAACTTGGATTATTTTATGATGCTCTTAATGATTTATCATTAGCTATTTATATTGAACCATCATTTATGGATGCTTATTGGCAACGTGCACTTATTTATATAATATTTGAACATTATGATGAAGCATTAGATTCATTAAATATGTGTATAAAATTTAATAAAACTCATGCCGGTGCTTATAAATTACGTGGTGATGTATATGCAATTAAAAATGATTTAGCTTTAGCAATTGCTAATTATTCCCAAGCTATTCGTTATAATCCAACAGATCATGAAGCTTATTATCAACGTGCACAAACTTATGAACGACGAAATGAAATTCTTTTAGCTATGGATGATTATGTACAAGTAACTCGATTGAATCCGAAGAATATTGATGCTTGGTAAGTCATTGAATATTGCCAATGATTTCATAGTTGTTAGAAAAATATTTTCTTAGGTATAAACATGCTATGTATTATTTTAATTCAAATAATTATGATTATGCTGTTGGTGATTTTACAGAATTATTAAAACGTCAATCAGATCATGTAACAGCACGTCTTTATCGTGGTCTTTCATATTTCTATCTTGAATATTATCAATTAGCTTTAGCTGACTTTTCTGCAACACTTCATTATGATCCATCAAATTGGGAAGCTTATTATCATCGTGCTTGTCTACTTCGTACATGTAATCCAGCTCAGGCATTAAAAGATTTTAGTATATCATTATTAATTAATCCTGAATATGAAAATGTTGGTGCATATCTGCATCGAGCATTAATTTATTGTAAACAAAATCAATATGATGCAGCTATTGGTGATTATGAAGCTGTACTTGTATTAGATCGTGAACATGCACCAGCTTTATGTAATTTAGCTATTATTTATATGAGAACAAATGTTCAAAAAGCTTTACAATTATTTTCAAGAGCAATTGAAGCTGAACCAACATATGTTCGAGCTTATTTTTGTCGTGCTTATTTTTATACTCAAATTAATAAATTACAACAAGCCTATTCAGATTATACAAAAAGTAAATATTTACATTTTGTTTTTTTTGTATTTAATGAATAATTTTTATTTTTTTTTGCTAAGTCTATCATATGTTTCCGGATCAAAATGCTGCTATGGTACTTCGAGGAAATATGCTTCTTGCAATGGGAAAACTTGATTTAGCTTCATTTTGTGTTGAAGTAGCTGCTAAATTACAATCATTATCTAGTCCAGAAGAAGATGAATCATCATCAATATCATCTTCAATGAAAATGAGTGCATCAAGTCCTCAACAACAAGCTATTGTTCATTCATTTCTTGAACAATTTGATTATTCTTTATCAATTATGGAACGTGAATGTTCATATCATCCAACAGCTGCAAATTATCGTATGCTTGGTAGATTACGTATAAAAGCTAAACGATTTGATGATGCACGAGATGCATTTGAGAAATGTATACAAGCTTGTAAAAATAGTATTTCAGATCAAACAGGTGATCTTCATGGTGCTTATTTAGATTTAAGTAAATGTTTTGTACAACTTAAACGTTATCCACAAGCTATAGAACAATTAACTATACTTATTAAACTTCAACAACCAAATCAAAATGCTGAAGCTTATTTACAACGTGGTATTGCAAAAATGAGAATGTTTGCCAAATTTACTGCTCATGAATTAATAAAATTATCATCAAATAGACGACCATTATTAGATATTAATAGAGCACTTGTAATTGAACCAAACAGTGCTGAAGCATATCTTGCACGAGCTGCTTGGTAAGTATCGAAATCATGTGAAATTCGTCGTTTTCTTTTTGTTCAGAATGTAAGTAAGATGTTTTTCTGTTCAATGAGTATCACTGTATATCAGAGATCTCAATGGGCCGGGCCAAGCCCGGCCCATTCGACCCATGGGCCGAAATTTCAAAGGATCACCCATGGGCTGAAATGGGCCGAATATAGAACAAAACGAAAATTATCAAAACTTCTTTCTCAAAGTAAAAGTGAAATTTTCTTTGGGAATGATC